GACGCTAGACCATACGGCAGAGAATTAAACTCTGAAGTTTGCAAGTTGCACAACTCCAGGATGCAAGGCACATGGTCGACTAAGAAAGGCTGCTTTTCATAAAAAATGTAAGCTGTTTTGAGTTAGACCTCAAGTGGATTGCGGACTTTTGCAATCACTCACAACAATCAGCCTTTCGAGTCGCAAAATGTGCTTGAAATTCACGTCCACAAACTTGCCGCATTTGAAAGCAGCACACTCCTCTGACTTTCTGTGTCAAATCGTTGATATTCTTCGTTCTTGTGGTGATAGGTCTTGGGTGTTTGCGAATTCCAAATTGGCTCGTAAGGCGGTGGAAATGGATGACATGTGTCATCGCTACGAGCGGGTCACGTCTGTTCTGCGACAGGCCCTGAATGCGATTCTATCGAATCCCGATCGGCCGAGAAACTGCCTTGTGTCTCAGCTTGTCGACAACGAAGAAGGCGAACTTACTCGTGAGTCACGACTTTTATCGATAATCGATAAAAATGATTAATATTGGTATCTTTATTGCCGTCACATTCGAGAGACAATCAAGCCACACTGATTTGGTTTTATATGAAATCGATTACAACAAACCAAGTTCAGAAACAAGTGTTATTGACTAACTTTATGTTCAACCTCGATTTGATACACCGAATTCGTAAATAATAGAAGACAATTTACTTACTCGTGAGTCACAACGACTGTAACGGAAAGTATATTGAACCAGTAGTGTTTTGTAGCAATCCCAAAGGCTAATTTACAAGCATTCAATTGCTTGATGATGCCCTCACAGCCCGACAAAAATCCCATGGAAACGAACATCACCATTGAAAACTGACAGGTACCTTTATGTTAGGTAAATTTTTTTGTAATTCGAAAGGGGACAAACTCCATTTAGCGGAGCCGATTTTGAACTCAGCAGTGGAGCGAAAAATCGACCAGTGATTGGGTGACCTTGTGAACCCCACCCCAAATGTGATTGATCGAACCTGAGCTCATCTCACCAAGATGCCATTTTGTTCGAAGCATGGCCTGTAGATCAAAAAATTTACTAATTGGCTACCAAGGCGGTGGTTGGATTGAGAGCGATGCAAAATTCGCACCAGTTGCTAAAGGTCAAGTGCTATCGCCTGAATTAGGAAGCAACAGGTATGCAAAAAAATAGTGCCCCAGGAAATTTCGCTTTTTCCGTTGGTGAGAACAGGGTTTTAGACTGGTTCAAACCTCGAAAACGCATTCTGTGTCATCTAAATAGGTTAGATTTATGGTCTGACACTGTTGTTGATATGATTTTGGCCACATTGTCACGCTTAGCTGACCAACCGAAATCCGGATTTGGTACATAAATGTGCGAGGAATTCCAGGATTGTTTCAGAGTGGTAGGGCAGTGTGGAGTAGGTCATTCGTGGTACAAACGAACCCCGATTAACTCAGCAAGTCAATATTTTTGAAATGCATCTCAAAATTGTCCAATTCTTGAAGCAATTAGTTCCAGATTTGTGACAAGTGTAGCATTTACCTTTGCTTCAATGGGTTACTGTGCTATGGATTCGGTGTTGTATATTCTGAGTTGTCTTGTTGGAAATAACGAACCAATTGGCATGTTTACAATCAGCAGCCAATTAAATTGGAGTAGGAAGAGAGGTGAAAACCTATCAGTACTGGCAAATCGGAGAACAATTCATGGTTTCGCGTAAACAGGTTTACCATGTTTATCCAGACTTTTATGTCCTAATTCAAGGTCAGATTTTATAACTCAATGTTATTTGCACAAAATGGATGGCCATTAGTATTCTTCAGCTCATGCAACTGATTGACTGAATTTGAAATTTTGCACAAATACCTGTCGAGGATGATACTCATCATGGGATTTCAGTGCATCCTCTTGCATCAACAAGCTTAGTATCACTATAAATCCTCAAAGAACATCGCGGAATCCTAGCACAACTGTAAAAGCCGCGCCAATTAGCTCCGGCACTTAGCTAAAACAAAACGTTTAAAACCCTAGCCAATGAAAATCGTCTCCAAAGCAACAGGCTACCTGGCCTTAGCCAATGTTTAGTTAAACCGCTACATCCGCAATGATGCAACCAAATGACGGGTAGACGGCGACGGGGACATCCGTGGTGAGTAAACGTCACTGGTCTCAACAATCAATTAAAAAAATGGACATCGGGATCCCTTCAGTGTGTACCAGTGAGGTGGATTTACTCATTTATAATTTCAAATTTTTCTCTTTTTTAAATGAATATTGATTGGTTGATCTGCCTTCAACCAATCAGTGAACAGAACCTAACCCGAGATCCTTATTTCCAACATTGTCTGTTTTCTCCCGCATTTCATATTTTCATCCAAATGTGAAATACTAATTGATGTGGATTTGAATGGTCCATCTCAGAGAACCAATGGCTCTTCCTACGCACATTTTTTTCCAAATGAAGAACCATCCTTGTATTTGGACGTTCGCTGAAACGCGAACTGCTGCCCTGGCAACTGTCCATCGTAGAATCTACGAGAATCATCACGATAGGTGTGAGTCATGCCGGTAAAAACCCACACTTTAGCCAATTACTGGCCTTATCACTAGACACGTGCAAATTAATGTGTGTTTGTAGGTCACCCACACACAAACACACATCTCGTAGTAAAGCTAACAAGCGAGTGACCGTGGTTGTGGTGGCCGAGGGGGCGACGATGAGGGTAACCACAGTGAGAATTGTGACGGCTAATTAAATTATGGTTTTCCACTAATAAATTGTGTGTGGATAATCAATCATCGTTTGGCCACTGTTCCCACAAACATTTGAACGTCTTAATTGTGTTTGATGACTCAGTGATTCAGCAAATGTGGTTAAGCTTCATCAGACGATCAGCCAGTTACCTTAGAGGCAGCTCCCGAAGTTGATTTTTAATTCGCACGAATCAAAATCCTGACGACAAAGTTTAAACAAATTTGCATTTTATTTTGAATCACTTCATTATAGTGGCACCCTCAAGCAGCTATACCTACGTTGTGAGTTTTTTTTATTCGCTCTGTCCGCCTCTCCTTGTTTTACACATGTGGCTCGCTTACAGGGCGCTACTTTGAATTCGCAAGCTAAATAGGCGGAATTTTCGTGCCACACCAATCAGATTACACGCAGACGGTGTGTTCACGTGATCAATTTCCTTGCGTTTGTTACGAAATTGCAATCGACTCGAAGCTAACCAATTCTCTGTCAAGTCAATCCGTTGGTTTTTGTTTGCAGTTTGTTATTCGTTTATTAACTCAACGATAAAAGGTACAGAACGTGGCAACTCACAAAGAACCATCACCTCCACCTCCTAGCAACGCTGCTTTTCAGAGCGGCTCATTCATTTGACTCCGATCGCCCAGTCAAAGCTCTTTCGGTGTGCATTAATGGAATCTGGGTTGAATCGAAATCGTTCTTCCGACAACCATAAATGCTCACAGCCGCACCCCGAGCATGCGAACTTCTATCGCTCACTTGTCACACTAAACTCACGGGCTGTGTAGAACTTAGCACACTAAAGGCGTGTTATCGCCTCCTCTCTGCGTCCTACCGTTCTCAGGCGCTCACAAACGCACACACACACACAAAGAGACACACCAATCGAATGATTGCGTGACGATTGGCGAATGCAGATTAGACGAATTAAGCACACAATCACACGCGTAGAGGCAAGTGCATCGGTTAGGTTATGCTTCGTGGCGCATACCACCACGCAATAATCCTCCCTGCCGCCTGTCTCACTGCGTCATCCAGACCAGAATGCGCGGACCAGCAGAGCCACCGCGAGGTCCTCTACAACTCGGACGACCTGGCACGCCACATGGCCAACTTCGTGATGAACCAGATACCCACGGTATCGGTAGCACATATCTCCTCGCGCGACTTCATTCCACCCAACCTCTGGCGCGACCCCCTCCGTGTCTACGCCTGCCTGTTCGCGCAGGCAAGCCGCGTTCTCTTCCTCGTGACAAAGGAGGACGTCGACAGGTTTGGCGACTTCCTCCACACGCAACTCCGACCCCTTTTGAAACGACCGATGGCCGTGGAAGACGACTGGAAATCACGGTTCCTCGTTGTCGCGATGGGGTACTTTGACTTGCCGAGGCCCCAGCTCTGTGATGTCGTTCGTTTCCGGGAAGTGGGTTGGTTCAGGGATAGCATGGCCTTGTTCGTGTTGGGTCAAAAGATTCAAGGTTAGTTTGCAAGTCCTCAAGGTCACGTTGAGTACCGTTAGTCTCTCCAGTCGAAACCGATTTAAACGACTCCCATCAGACCCTTGAATTTAAATGACTTTTTCCATTAATGGGTGTAGGGAGGTCGGTTACTTCAAACAGCTTAACTGCATGCCATTTTCGTGATTTATTCAACCACAGAATCTACCTAATCCATCACGTAAAAACTGTCTTATGAAGTCTATTTTTCATGAAACAGTTGACTCATGACCGCGTCAGAACAAGGAATGAAAATTTGTTTACATTGATCAAATGTATGAAGTTCCGCTATGCAGAATTATTATCTTGTAAAAATCGCCCTTCGATGTGATCTGGCTGTTTGGAAATTGAACAGGGCAGTGGAGGTTTAGGCTGTGTTTAGCGAACCACACACTAGGCCGGCTCTTCACACCAACGCAACGCTGCTTAAGCCACCAACTGCGCACTTGCAAGCGTGCATTTTGTACACCAAAGCGCCTAGTTTGGCTACGCCATCAAACAGGCGTGAAGTAAGAGCAAAATAATGGCATGAGCAAACTGCCCCCAGCAGGCAAACAGGTTCGAATAAAGCGCACCTTGAGAATCAGCTCGTTAAAACAAAGCAAAATTTGCTTTTAGTTAGTGTTTTTAGTGGTTCAGTCACTGTCCTCTATCATTGGGACCTGGTGTTTGCGAAGCCAAACGAAAACAGATGGTTCAAATGATATTTTTGCGATGTAAGCGTGGCCCAATCGCCAAGGCCATGTGCTAGGTATGAATCACTGTCGTTTCGGGCAATTAAAGTAATCCACTCTCTGGAATTCGGCCGCAAAATTTATGAATCCAGTCGTTTGCGGAGTTGTATGGGACGCATTTAAATACATCTCCATACTAAGAGACCTGGGAACTTGTTTACGAATTGACTCCGCACAACTGCGATAAAACCATTGGCTGATTTCAGCCAATGGTTGCCAGGGTTTTCCTGAAGTGAGTTCAGTATTGATTTAAATAATGGCTTGAACAAATATCAACAGATGTCAGCACAGCACATCATACACGTCGACAACAATTCCACAGAATCAAATATAACCACGTATCATACCAGGAACTAAGTTCAATCTTCATTTTAAACAACTGCTTAAACAGAATTCAAACTTGTACCAATGTAAACAAATTCCATTTTACACGTTGACTACAACTCTAACCAATACGTTGTGATAGGTACTTAATGTCATCCAACCATATTTCAAGTTCAACTTTGAATTAGACAATGGTGGGTGTTCAAAATTTTGCCAAATAACACAAGAAACTGCTTTCACGTTTTAGATTTTTGGACAGCTAGGTGCCACAACACTCAGCTAACCTCAAAGAATCCAGGCTGGGATTTTGTTGCCACCCTGGAAGAGACTGAGACGTTTCAGTCATTGGTGACAGTGAAAACCGTCACCAACGATGATACCCCTGAAAGCCAACGAGTAGCCTACGAACGCCTTGCAGGAACCTTCGATGATGACGAGTCGGTGGTGCCGAACGACGATGTGCGCGTCCTTGCACGACGTCAGACCTGCAACTTCCAGGTCGATATCGAAACCAATCGGTCATTTGAGATCCACGAACCCCTGGTGTACGGTTACTCACTTGCAAATCTTGATAGTCATACCAATGGAGTAGGACGTCAACGCCCTTATTCTGCAGTGCTTTCAGAACCTGACTTCTACGGCTGGTCCAGTGTTGACGAAGCCTTCGGTGATGCGACTGATGACAATGTCCTCGAGCTGGATGACACGCACACGACAAGCAGCAGCGCGAGGGAGATGCAGTGGTCATCTCCGGACAGTATTTCCTTGCCTAACGAGGCCAAACTCCAAGAAATCGTTTCTGCCGAAGAAAACGAACCCACTCTTGTTGTGGCAGAAAGCGAGGATTTCGAGGGTGCCTCTTCACCATCAAACGATACAGACGAAACTCTGATTTCTTCAGGCGGCGTCGCAGACGGATCTAGACCACCAAAACCAGCTAGACGGGAGAGAATTGTTGATGTCCAAAGGGACGATCAACTGCAGGAACCACCGCTAGTAATCAAGCGAAAAAAATTTGTACGAGATGAAGACGGTAGCGTTGGCGGTGTTACTGATGACGAAGTAGTCTTCCCTGTGGTTCCTGTGGCTCCGCTTGAAAATCCTTTGGAGTCCATAATTGAGCGTTCAGTGGAAGACGACCCAAGTGCTTGCCAAACAGAAAATCGTGACGCCCTTCCTGAACCCCCAGCAAGGCCAAAACCCACTACACGAACTACCCAAAATCACTTTGATAATCTCGCTTCGGTGCCACCAAATTCAGTAAATTCCAACGAGCAACCAACCCCGGAAACTGTCTCATTTGAATCTGGAGATGAGGAAAAAACGTGGAACTGCGTGAACCCTGAAAAGCGCAATTATTATTCATTAGAATCTCCTGAATCACCTACTAATCCTTTATCCAACGTACCGCGATCTCTGGAAGGTAGTCCGTTCTTCACAGACTTTGGCCGAGGTGCAACCAGGGGGAACGGAAATGCCTCTGGAAATTTCCGGAAACGCAGGGCTGCGCCGTTGAATGATGCAACCTCGGATTACATCTCAATGACTTCACCAGGTCCTCCTTTGTCACAAGTAGGTCTACATGAGGAAACCATAAGTGAAGAAGACATCGAAAATACATCGCATCATCCAATTAGTGCTTCTCTATTGTCTGACCATGAAATTGAATTCCTGGTTCCCCAGAAAAGTGAACCATTTGTTTCTGAAGGTAATGAACCCATTAGTCCAAACGAAAGTGCTGTTTACAACCGATTTCAGGAGAATTCTGAGGCTGGATTTGAAGAAGGCGAGGCAGTGGTGCTTTCCGACTTGAATCGAGGAGAAAACGTGACTTCAGGAAGCCCCTCGTACGCTGAAGATAGTCTCATTACTTGCCTGGGAAGAACCGTGATGAGCCCTAGTTCTGACGAGACGGCATCGCTCGTTCGTGGTCACCAAGAGGAGCATCAGAGTGCTCCGTCCGCGAAAACAGTTACTGAATCCGAGTCGCTAGGAACGAATGGCAAAACGGACTCTCAGAGTGAGGTTAAACCACACATCCTTGGCAACATCCCGTCTGACGAAGATCGAGGTGCACCAGGCCAAGACAACGATCAACAGGTTCCCGATTGTGTAAATAAAAGTCCATTAGACGAAGAAACAGGCTTTGATCTTGCCAAACCGGATGCGCCATGCAGAATTACCGGGACGACAGATGTAACTCTGAGTTCTCAGGGTTGCGGAGACGAAGCGTCAAGTGAACACGACCCTCAGAACTCTTCTTCTACCGTGGTGACGCCCTCACTCAGCTTCTTGCCTGCCAAAACATCATTGCAGGAAGGTGATAAGGCCACTAATGCCTCAAACGCGAGTCTAACAGAACCAGCTGTCAAGGCAACGATTTTGCCGATTTCGTTTGTGGCCGCTGCGGGTCAAGACAATGCCGCTCCAAGTGGAATTCTTGAAGGGAACGCGGAGAGACCAATTGTGCCTCATGCTGCTGAGGATGAAAAAGGTCCTCGAATTAAAGCCACCGTGGAACCTGATGGAATCTCGGCAAGTGGACCAATGGAACAAAATCAGTTACCTTCAGAAGGCCTTCAAGGACTCGAAGGTAAAGTGGTTCTTGGTCCTCCAGACATCTCCCAGATATCCACAGCAGACAACAATAGCGCAGTTGTGTGTGAAAAAGCCAAAGAATGTAATGCGGACATGTCTAAATCAACAAATAATGAACCTGATTTGGATAGATTAAAAACACTTGCCCACGAAACAAAAGCACAATTGCGTCCTGATAATTCCTCACACCAACAGGCGTCGGACAACAACGGGACAGTTTCCTCGAACAAGTTGGAAAATTCTACCACTTATGAACTGCCGAATCAGAGTAGGATTTTAACAAGCCCAGAGAATTGCCATTCTTCGCAACGGGTACATCCAAAAGAGGTTGGTGGAGATATTTCAGAAGCAGGAAGCAACCGGCTAAAAGTAATCCCGCTTGCAACCAACGGCGACGTAGCGACTGAAGAATCTTCCGAACGGAAAGAAAGGTTGGCCAAGAAGGTTTTGTTTAAGGATTTGCAGACAAGTGACACGGCGGTCACTCAGGAAGTTAGCAGGTCTGTAGAGGACGTCCAATCCCCAAATTCACCAACAATTCAGGAGCCCAACATCCAACTAAGTAACACTTCAACGCGTGGCTATCCTGAGGATTTTGTTGAAGCTAGTGACCATTCAACACGTCTAGGTGGAGCAATAAGACAAAATTTAAGCAAAACCACAGCGTTACCATTGTTTTCGCCCCCAAACTCTGAAGAACTGTTTACTGTAACTGCCCGCCCTACTGGTTTTAGAGAGGAAACTGAACCTCACGAGTTTTCGCGCACTTTGGGTCCATGCACTGGCAAAAGTCGAGGAAAAACAACGTTACGGCAACTTGAGAAGTCTGTGGAGCCAGAATTCGTGACTTTAAATGTCACAGGTCCAGAGGCTACAGAGGTAGGTTCGCTGGCTGGTGAAAGTAGGAATCAAGTAAAGACCAATGAGAAAACAGGAAGCTTCAAGGATCAGGAGTCCCCGATTTCTGACTCATCACCTGATGAGTCACCGCAACATGGTGGTAGATCCGCTTGCTTCCAGGACCAGATCCCCAACCCCCACACATATGAAAGTCCCTCAAAACAAGAGCACTCATTTCCGGATGAAAGTTACTCTGCGGAAGAAACAGCCTTCAAAAGATTTCAACCGACCTTTGCTTTCTCCTCAAACCGACAATCGCCGTTCCCGGACTCAGACTGTGACCCAGAGATCACTTCAGCGACAATGTCAAGACCCTGGCACCTGTCGCCGACAAGGCTCGAATCAACTCCAGCGACCAGGCCAATAATTGTAGCAGGATCTGCAAACGCGGTCTCCCAGGGTCGAGTGGGCAGGAGAACGTCCCAGGACAGTCAAGCCAGTGCCCTGCCCTCTCTCTATTACCCCCCTCAGGCAGTTGAAGAGACGCGATCCGACGTTGTGCTTCGACGGAGGGCGTCTGTCGAACGCAGGCCAACAGGGAGTACGGGACGATTCAGCACGATCTCCATTGACGAGGACTCGAACCGTCAGGAACACGTTGAACTGGTCGATGCTGCTGTCGGTCGAAGCCGATCCAAATCACATGGTATGTCATCATTTTACCTCCTATTCTTCCTATTTCCACAAAGAAACCGGTACCCTTTGTGGACAGCAGGATGCCTGACTGATCATTCTGAAAGCTCTCCACTTCGTTAGTATTAAAATTGATATTCCTTGCCTGGTTGGGAGTCGTTGGGCCAACGCATTTTCCCCAGATATCAAGTGGTTGGATATCTCAACCCCCCTAACCCCTGATAGGTGTTGACAGCAGTTATTTTGCGGCGTTTCATACAATGCTTGTGCAATCTTGTTGTGGACCCCAGCATGTGATCTTGAACCACACCGGGTCCACGGAATTAACCCTGGCCCGATTACGTTTCCCTGATACCCGCGATGAAGAACAAGACCGCAGAGGACGTGGACACAACCGTTTACTTCAGAGCTCAACCACGTTGGTGTCGTCGTCTCGAGTGTGGGGTTTGTGCGTGTGTATTTATGCCTCAGATGTGTGAGTCATAGATGAGCTAACATCGAGACCTAGGTGTGAGGATAATCCAAATATTCGTGTGAATGAGGGGAGGTTGAGGATCCGCGTAGCTGGCGACATGCTGCGAAAAGGGGAACCCCGTGTCGGAGGCTGGAGCAACCGGATTAAGGGGTGTGAATAAACACGATTCACAATAATCCCATTGGAGACCACAAAATGTAAGTGAACCTTCCATAGTCTGCGGCTTTGTTCTACCTTGCCACCTGGGTTCTGATCTCATCCAATCAGAGATTTTGCAGTCTAGGTTGTTATCAAAGGCGTTGCCAAGACGAATCTTGGGGCCCACGCCGCTATCGAGTGTTGCGTGGAGTATAAAGACCGATGATCTGCCTACGCAAGATCCAGGCTCTGTGAACAAACTCCAGAATGCTTGATCTGCTGAATTGTGTAGAGTGGATTTGTGTTTCCCTATGCTGCGGCCGTACTTGTCGTTGACGATCAGTTCGTGAAAGCGACCTTTGTGGTCCAACTTCATGGTAGTCCTCCACTTCCAGTTTAGATTCTTGAACATGAGTTCCCCTTCAATGTGTCCAACCTCCTCCTCGTTATCGTAGATGGCACAAATTTGCTCCAAAATTCAGACCCATGTACAACAAACCCACTACCTTAAAACCCTCTAGTTAACAGCCCGTAACTACCCGAGGAAAGGGGGAAAAGCGAAGACAAAGAACATGACCTTTCATTCGTGTCACGCCAGTCAAGTCAAGTCGAGTAGAGTAAAATCGTGAAGCTCACTTTTGTGTGCGTATCGATACGCGTGTGTTACAGGCGACTGATAACAACAACCAATAACAACGAGGGTGAGTCATTGATAGAGACGGGCACGCACACACGCAGCACTCACGCGCGCGGTGGCTGTCTGTCCACAACACGAGAAAAAAATCGATTGATTTGTGTTCGCTCACGAATGCTAACGGTGCTGGCCTGCTGGTCGCCACAGAATGAAGGCACCATCAGGCAGTGACAATCCGCATCCAGAGTAATCGCCTCGCCGTTAAATTCGTTCCTGTGCGCTAATTAAACGCACATTTAAAGCACACAAACTGCGTGGAATGTGCAGTTAGCGGAAAAGTATGATTTACTGGAACTGACGCCGTCTTTCCCCATGTGACTACCAAGTGCCGTCGTGACGTTGGATGCGTGGTTGCCGTCGTAAATCACAACCCAAGGCTTCTACGCACAAGACTCTACGGTTGCCGGTGTCTTGCCTTATTTACCTGCTTAACTTCAGCAGCTGGAGACAGTCGTCGACGTGGAAGGTCTTCACCAGTGCAGATACTCTACGAAACCGGTGAATATCATCGAAACATCAGCACGCAGGCGAAGTCCGGTAGGCGATCGTCTCAAGCCGACGATGGCGGACGATACTTCCGCCTGGTGAAGGACCCGGTCCACAGCGACGTGAAAGGTCCATCGACGTACTGGAAGGATCGATCTGTCGGCTCTCCGACTCCCTACGCTCTCGCCAATTTTTCCGACAACACTTCAGAGATTTCAGCTACCTCGGACATCAGCAGCGTTGGGAGCAGAGGTTGGTTATATTCACAACTCCACTCACGACTGAGTTACATGGTGCTTCCTTAAATAATTTCGTTGTTTCCACATTCCAGAAATCGGAATCACCAATGCCTCGAAAAAGGACGTGGCACAAGCCCTCGTCTCTGTATATACGGCTCTTGGCAAGGCATCAAAGATTATTTCCGCGTCGTCACAAGTAATCATGCAACAGGTTGAACGATTAAATAGTGAAAAGTCAGGCCAAACGGAAGATTGAAAATTGGTTTTAGAAGGCCTTATAAAAAACTGAATAAATTGTCTACAGTTTCGAAGGGGTTTATCTTTTCTACGCTTTTGGTTCAACCCTTATGGGGGTTTAATCAATTTTTCGATGGTTAAACAGTATGACTACTTAAAATGTTGAAGTAGACGAAGAACAACTGCCTTTCCAATGGGGGAACAATGGCAAAGCCAATCGATTGATCGCTCTGAGTCGTCACGTCGTTGTTTTTCGATGCTCTTGGGGATAAATTGGAACCTCTTCATCCACTACTTTACACTCTGGACACAGAGTATTCCTGAGTTCAAGGAATCACTGGTTTGATCGATAGAGTAGCGTCCATCTTAGAACCTAAACCAAAAATGTTTACAGTTCCGAAAAGCTGCTGGAATTTTCCAAGGCAACTTACATGTCCTGCCTTGCAGAAACCAATACATTTGGACTTTTTTGCAAGTAAACACCATTTTCGCATTTAAATCGACCGCCCTCATCTGATTGGCTCATCCAAGGTCATGTATTGTTCCCTTACGTAACAGACAAATAATTGGTTTAGATTTTGAATTTGCTTTTGCTCAACACAAATGCGTATGATTTAGTGAACTGTTTAAAATATCCCTTCCAACGTTTCACCACAATCCGCCACATAACGTGGTATCAAGTTACACTGCCAGGCGCATAACGAGAGTGGCTGGGTTGAACTATCCACCGCGTGGTTCACTGCTAGTCATAGGCGCTGTAGCACATATCTATTTGATATCTTTAAGTCATTAAACGCATTTCCGTCCCAGAGTTTTAAATTAGACCTCCAATTCGTGCAAAGAATATTCCTCTTTTTTCTATCACCAATGTAACCGTCAGTCACCACGCATCATGACCATTGGTTATGGTGATTTGTCGAAAACACTGTCATTTGGGGTTAATTTAGCAGTGCTTGATTAATTGTTTTGTTAATCTAACTCCTAAAAGCGATAATATGTTCTCCCGACATATTAAACCTTTAGCGATCGCGTATGATTGGATGCTTGCCCGAATTGGTTAACCTGAAATTGATTGGCTATTATGCCTCATTCTTAGATCTCATTGGTTCAACGAATGACGTTGTAATGCTAAATGGGAAGTGGCGTCGCTCTTGAATGAATTTCACCAATTATGGAGGACATTTTCATCCTAACAAGCATCGAATTGCACGTGAAGGCGCAATTATTACTCAGCCTCATTTAACGTCGTAAATGTTGCCTCAAATGGCGGGAATAAATCATTTCAATGAGTGTGAACCCACACCACCACCACCACCACAACCCCCTTTTCTTCCACAGAAGGTTACATTTGCTGCAGCTGACGCTAGACCACAATCGACTAATGACCTATCTCACGGACAATCGAGTACTTTATTTTACGTAATCGGGCCACCGCCATTTTGTGTCTCAGTGCGCGAAAACCGCTTCATAACTTAAACCAATGCAGTCGCCGATCACCATCAATTGTCAAAAATTAAACAACATCTCAAGGCGTCGCGACGTTAGTAGGGTGACTCACCGACACATCGATAATTCAAAAAACCGAGCTTAAACATCCGACTTTTTCGAACCAAGCCAATACATTTCCTCAATTTTCCGTTATTTAAAGCTTCTCTGGCGATGCGCAAATGCAAATTTATCTAACATCGCAGTAGATGCGAGAATGACTTAATTTTGTTGACTTAGCTCCAACTGCGCAACAGACAGACACGTTTTCTTGAAATGGACCTCAGACTGAATCTTCGCTCCTTTTGACGCCAACTAGCATCGTAGATTTGGGATAATTAATTATTAAATGTGACTTGCCATGTCATGCAGCAGATTAAGTAAAAAAACCATTCTCGAATTGTAGAGTGTTTGGTAGAATCTTGCGTTTAATTTAAGTGAGTTAATCCATTTCACCATCGTCACATGTGACTGATTGTTAAAACTATCAGCCCTGGCAAATCCAGGCACCTTCACTCGTGTTATCGATTAATTACCACGCCAGCCAATCCAGGGCCGCTTGCACTCATTGGCTAGCGACGCTCAGACATATAATTATCGATTTTTGTGCATTTGCGAACGCGCAGTACACATCACCCGCGTGGGGAGGATTAAGGGGCTTTTAAATTCACACGCACAATAATATTAAGAAAAACGCATTTCCGACTATGCGAGTATCTAGTTTGCTTTAGTGAGTGCTCGAGGAGTAGTTAAATCCACTGCCCGCCAACATTTTGCATGAATTTCGCCTATTCATGGGCCGGGAAAGACTAATAATTGTATTGGTACGCACAATGTCATTTTCGTGACTCCATTAGTCCCGTTTCATTCGGTTGACTGGCAGTTCAGAAAGCGTGGCCTTGAGTCAAAACAGAGTCCTACATGGCCAAGTGTTTTACATGAGTTCGTTAATTTTTTTAATTTGTTATTTTTTGCTATTTTTATCAGACGCTTTAATTGAAGCGCTATGGTAAGTGGCAGTAAGGCAGAGAGATAATAATTCAATTTGAAGAGCAATTCCGACTACCGACATCGCGTACAGCTCGTTTTCGAACTAGCAAAATTTAGCTAGTCAAATATTTTCGCCTCCTTTGTCGAAAAAGCACACGGAGTCTTACTAATTTAAGTGTGTGTAATGCGGATTTCACAATGCTAGTACCTCTGGTCTGGATGACCTTGAATGTGGGCCAATCAGAATTCGACATTTTTTATTTAAAGCCTTATTCTTCCTTGACTCAATTAGACAAATTTTCCGCCTATTAGCTACATTTATTAGAGGAAAAATCACCATTACAGTCACGACTTCTCCCATTTGAACAGGCTCGTGTGTGGTCTAATACCATTGGACGGTTCGTGAGGAGGTTGCCTGACCAATCACATTGACACTCGATAGCCAAGGTAAAACCATGCTCTCATCATACGCTATTATAGTAATGACAATCTGGACCTCTAAGGCTATATCTTTTGTGGTTTATGCTCTGTTGTTTGTGCACGGCAAACGTGAATTCACCTATGTTGTGAAGGAGGAGTCAGAGAATGGGACGTTTATCGGAAATATTTTGGTGGACTCCGGTCTAGTCGACGTCATTTCAACAAGCGACGAAATAGGAATCCAACTCTACGAGGATCAGGCAACTGGGCTGTTCCAAGTCGACGGAAAGTCTGGAAGACTTCTGGTAGCCGGTCGGATCGATCGAGAAGCCATTTGTCCTCAGCGTGGAGGCGTTTCGGAGTTCAACGTTCAAGGCACCTTCCACAACGACGATTCAGGTGCCTCCCCAGGCGACTGCCAAGTTGATTTCATCGTTCACATACCTCCAGATCACTGGATTAACGTCGCTGTTGTTGTCGAAGACATAAATGATCACTCTCCACATTTTCACCAACCCTCTTCCAGTCTTGTTGGAGGACAATCGAGCTCGCCCTACATTCTGCACATTAGTGAGGGTGTCAGCATCGGTTACGAGGTTCCACTCGTGGGGGCGGTGGATGAGGACTCGGGAGTTAATGGGATTCAGACATACAGTTTCCACGAAGTTGACTTCGACAATGCGACTTTCGGCGTGAAATTCCAGCCCCCTTACGAGCTGAACTTGATCGTGCAAAAGAAGTTGGATTACGAGAAGAAATCAGCCTACAAGGGACTCTTGAGGGCGTGTGATGGCGGCCGACCAACACCGCGCTGCGCGTCTCAGGAGGTCTCGATTTTCATCAGCGATGTCAACGACAACAAGCCAGAATTCAAGAAGGATCTTTATGAGGTACGAATCTCTGAGGCAACGCCAGTCAAGTCGGTAATAATTGCCGTCACCGCAACGGATGCTGACTCGGGCAAGTTTGGAAAGCTCAATTACCGATTTGGTCAAACCTACGATCAGAATGTTGGCAAATTTTTTGGAATAAATGAGAACACAGGCGAGGTGTGGGTTAGAAGCCCCTTGGATGCCAAAGTCGTGTCGCATTTGAAGGTACCGGTTATCGCGCGCGATGGAGGCCCCATACCAAAAACCGGCACTACGCTGTTGCAGATAGACATCGAGGACGTCAATAATCACTCACCATGGATTGAAGTGAAATCAATAACTTCGCCGAGTCACGTAGAAAAACCATTGGACAGTTTCGTCCAGCTCTGGGTGGAAGAAAACCAGCCAGTTGGAACTCAAATCGGCATAATCCTGACGGGCGATAAAGACGTCGGGTCTAACGGCGAGGTGTCGTGTTTGCTTAGGGGAAACACTTCGCTTTTCCAGCTGCGTCACTCGAATTCCGGTCGTGAACGCAAAATGTACAGTCTCCAGTCGAACAGCCGATTCGACTTAGAAAGCATGCACCCACACTCTAAACTAGCCCTGCAAATTGAATGTACAGATGCCGGACGTCCTAGACTGGTATCTCGACAAAACATACACGTAAACGTGATGGACGTGAACGAGTATCCTGCGTACTTCACTCAAGATCAGTCCAATTTCTTGGTCCACATTCCTGAGGACGCTAAACCTGGTTCTCTAGTCGTCCAAGTTCAAGCAACTGATCGTGACGCCACGCCACAAATGCAATACGAGTTAGTCGGAGAGGCGAATGATTTATTTCGAGTGGATTCGGACAGTGGTCGTGTGTACTCGCTTCACAAGTTTGATCGAGAACAAGTTGGACGAATAAGCTTTGGCGTGCGAGTAGTGGAGAAGGACTTCCTAGATTCGAGGGTTCTTCCAGCTGGTCCAACGGTCGCAAATGTAACACTCCTCATTGATGACGTCAACGACAACAGTCCCGTGCTGGAGGGCAGTCGAGTGTTCCAGGTCTTCGAAAATCGACCTGCATATTCCGATTTGATTGGCCAACTGACCGCCTCTGATGCGGATGCAGGCGAGAATGGGACACTGCGGTTTTGGCTTTCAAGTATAAATTCCTACCAGACAAATGCCACATTCGATGTCAACCCGGTTTCAGGTAAGATTTACGCCAAAGAAGTACTCGATCGTGAGACAACTGCTCAATACCAACTAGAGATTGAAATCTCTGACTTGGGTAGACCCTTTCCGCGACAGACCCTGGAAAGAATTTTCATCGATGTGATGGATGAGAACGATAACAAACCAGTGTGGAAACCTCCTCTTAGTTTGCACGAAGGCATTGCGATAGAGGATTTATCAAGCATCACCATGATGGGCAGTGAATACGCCGACCGCGCAGGAATGCCGTGCGTTGCTTTTGTGAATATCTCTCACCAGGCGTCAGGGCAAGATCACATCATTAAACTTGTGGCCACGGATGCTGATTCGGAGCCAAATGCTAATCTCTCCTTTGGCGTCATTGGCGTGAACTACTACCATGACAATGCCTTCGACTTCAGTGACCCCGACGTATTACATCTTGCAGAAAAGCCCCAACCCCTGGATGTGTCCAGTCACTTTCGGGTGAGTTTCGCGACGTGGGTACTAAGTGCCGTCCGACCACCACAAAGCGGACTCTATGAACTGACTGTCCGCGCCTCCGACAATGGAAATCCCCCCCTGAATTCCAACGCCCTGATGTACCTTCGATTTGAACGCGGTGGCACATCCGTTGCTGGTTTGTTCGGCATCACTCACAGAGGTCGATTCGCTATCCTAATTCTGGTCGTATGCCTCCTAACTTGCTCCATTCTGCTCCTCTTGATCGTCTGTCTAGTCCGAAGTAGATTAAAGCGTCGAAATAGCGGTGAAGGCGGCATAATTGCCACCGTGAACGGGGAGAAAGTCAGAGAGGCGAACCATCTTTATGGTCCCTGCTCAAACATTGAGAGGTGGCAGGGGAAACAGGTGTTTCCGCCACAGACCCCCTTCATGGGATCGCTGGAACTCTCAGGCGAGATGTCAACCTCCTTGGTCAGAAGCACGACGGACTGCGACACCAGCAACTGCGTGCAGATGTCGCATACGCAGTGCCGTACGTGTCCTTCCGCGACCAGTCTTCCAGTGAGTCAATTTCTTTCCTAACTCAAACTCGCTCAAAAACATCTTATCATTGTGGGAATTAAATATCGCATATTTGACGGGTAGGTTACTACCTACGACTATTATTCCTCAAAATTTCGATCTTTTGTAAATTATCAATCATGCTGAATTGCTTAAACGGTGATCTGGTGGAAGGTAAATGGGCCGTCCGCTTCATTTTATCTGGCACATTTCATCTTCTCGCTTGTGACACGTGCTACAGCAAACTTTCATAGCAGTCTGACAAATGTATCAAAAGAAACACGGGCTGACACTAAGGGGATTTTGGGGTGAACAGTTGCGGATTTTTTTAGCGTTTTCCGAGGATACCTACCACCACTACCACAGTGTGACTAATTTTTTTTAATTTTAAATTCTCAAAACATTAGCAAACACTCCACACGCTTTCAACAACTGGCAGACAAGTTCCCCAGAGTGGCCTAGATGCGATAAGAATGAGGCATCCACTTCTTGCGACAGGGTGTCAGAAAAAGGGAAAAAAGACGTGGAAATGTCCATCTAGCCCTTTGTCCAATCGGCTAGAAATTCTTCTGTTTTAACGCTGCAGAAGATTACCAGAAATCGTACAACTGGATAGTCCTAAGTGCTTTTGTCAACAGAAATCGATTAAGGCGTTGTTTAAATCGACGTCAAAAAATTCCGCCAGTCACGAGCACATCGAGATTGTAGCCCTGGCAACCGGAGTTGTTGCCGTGTATTTGCTTCGAACAAGGCCTTGAGGAATCCATTAGGTATTGACGAGGAACCAGCGAACACTCTAAGGAGACACCCAAACCTAGTAACCCATGCCCTCAGGCAATTAGTCTGTCAGTTAGTAAACAAGCAGATCCGCTTGCTTCCGAAAAAAAAACAATGTGTATTTGCTAAATAGTACTTTTAGGAATCAGTAATTTGGCGAGCTGGAATGGCGCTAGCTTTAAACGTGAGAATCTAACCAGGTGGCTACCGAACCCTGTGCAAACAAGGTGGGCTTTTTTGTGGTTTGCAAACAACATCTCAGGCAGCTTCGTGTAATTTCTGGCTGTATCCTAATCATGAACCCACAAATATAACCAATTATTCAGAGACCGTTTGCCGACCCACTGGAAGACTTACTTTGTTATCCCAAAAAGTAACTTTTTCATTGAAAAACGTAAGTTATTGTCGTCAGCAGGTGATAGTTCAAGAATTTGTAAATCTCCAGTACTTACAACTGGCGTTGTTGTTTAAATCGGCTCCATTTTTTAGTGGTTACTTCATCAAATGGGTCTAATTTCCAATCCGTTTCGATAGTAGGTGAGGTCGAAAAACCTATTTGACGTATACGCAGTTGGCTGTTTCTGTTGCCACATTCCTTTAAGTAGAAAAAGCTAGTTTTGTGTTGAAAATGCGAAGTCCTGATTAGTTAAAGGTTAGTTCTGAGTGAAAAAAGAGTGATTGTGGAAAAACGCCAATGTCTGGATAAAAAGTCCAATAGAAAATTAATCGGTGTTCCATTTGACTGCACTCAAATTTATCGAAATACATCGTTACTGTGTGAATGAAACTTGTTCGGATTTTGTTCCGGCTCTAAGTTCGGTTAAACAGTGAATCAGACGACTTCAAAATGGCGATCATCTGGTATTTAGGACTGTTGTGGGCCCCACCATGTGGTCTTGAACCACGCTGGGGCCACGGAGTTAACCCTGGCCCGATTACGCTTCCCTGATACCCACGATGAAGGAAAAGACCGGAGAGGACGTGGACACAACCGTTTACTTCAGAGCTCAAGCACGTTGGTGTCGTTGTGTCGTGTGTGGTGTTTGAGTGTGTGTATTTATAGCTCGGATGTGTGAGTCATACATGCGCTAACATCGAGACCTAGGTGTGGGGACACTCCAAGATAAATATTCGGGCTAGTGAAGGGGGAGTTGAGGATTCGAGCGGCTGGCGACATGCTGCGACAAGGGGAACCCTGGGTAGGAGGTGGAGCGACCGGATTAGGGGGCTGAATAAGCAGGATTTACGACAGGACGAATCTATCCGCAATTTAGTTAACAGAAATCCAGGGACTGCGACCTACGACGGCACGTTGTCTTTTCAAGCAACGTGGATACAACTTCAAAAGTGGTTTATGTGTTGCGCATGTTTCAACGGAACGGAACCAACCGAACTGTGTTTTTCATTGCGAATTCTGTCACCAGCCGTTAGCAGAATGAACCCTTCATGAATCATGTCATTGGTCGAGGTGCGAACTGGTTTGTAGATGGCAGTGTTGGAAGCAAGGGAAGCTGGAATCACGAAAGTGAAAGACCAGACTCCATGACGAGGCCTGAACTGCCGTATCCAATGAAAGTGCTTTGATGTGTCGTGTGGGGGAACTACAGAGAAATAGCCTTGTACAAGCTTCTTCCACCAAAAATTCATTGTGAGGTTGCCAACCAATCCGATGAAGGATTTCCCATTATTGATCGGGACATTCATTGTTGTACACACGTTCTTTTTTTCCCTCGTTTCAAATCAGGCGGAATTTTCACAATCATCTGGTAGTTTAGCCGCACACTGCCAAACTTCTATCGAAACGCTTTCGCTAACGACACAAACGCGCTTTCTTTTCAAGTGCCCTCGGTTGCTAACATTGGTGGTTTTTTCTCAGTTCCTCGATTCTACAAATACCACATATTTTGTCTACCTAATCGAGTTTCTGCTTTCACGGTTCAGCCGGAGCCAGCAAAGTTGGAGTGTCACACGGTGACCACACAGCGGTCGTGTAATGCCGCGCCCCATAAAATGTGGGAAACGCCAAATTTTAAAATACCCAGGGCACTCCCGCCGCGTGATTGGACAGTGTTAATTAGACTTTAGTGGCACAGTTTTACTGCCAATTTATTCGGACTTCGATAAACAGTTGCCGCAGGAACCAATCACCTCTAAGCTGCGTTCAACTCACCCGCTCTTTGTATATAACGTGAGTAACACAAACCAAATTGACAAACGTATTTTACGGTGGCATTAACCGCTGGCTGATGCCACTGGTATAAGCCGAAACAACAGGTGTTTTGTGTCATAACACACCCCTCGTTTTCCCTACGCAAGTAGTCGACGGGATTTCTAAATGAGACGCAGCTACGCATGTGGGTAGAATTTATCACAGAAATGGCCGGTAGTCCCATTTGCTTAATTCCTTCACATTTAACTATTCATTTTAAGTCTCAATGTACTGCGTCACGATTCTATTTAGTAGTATATATAAATTAACCACAAAAAGATACACTCTTGTTTGGTGTATCCTCTTCCAGATGCATTCGACGGTGGCGGCAGTAGATGGCAGCCACAGCGACAGGGAACTGCAAGACGCCGACAGTCTCGATAATCCGAAAGGTAAGGCTTTCCAGGTTAATTAAGACTGCTGGTGAATTTTTGTCAGCAATTATTTTTGCCGACAATAATTGTTCTTCGCCGGCACCGCCGACCGGTATTCACGAACGGCGCTGTCAGTGGACTTGATTAATGTGCTTTAGTACGACAATTACATCAGCTTGGTTAAAGTATGTGCGTATTTTTGGCGGAGAACATTCTACAATTTTATGAAGTAACTTGCTGAGCTGTACTTGCGGCATTCTGAGGGCACCAAGTGCATGTCCTTAGAAGCAATTATTTTGAAAAAAAACTAAACATTTTATGACCGGTTAATGGGGTTGTTTCACCTTAAGCTGTGGGCTCATAAATAAAGGCATCATTCAGCATTAGTTGCTTGCAATTCAGACCTCCACGTTTAACAGATTCATCGTTGTAGTGTCCTCTTTCAACACAGTAATACCAACCAGTAGATCTGACCATACTTCAGAAGCCTACAACAATCCTGTGCAGAAACGAGCTAGATTAGACAGCGGATGCGACCGTTCATTCACACCATCGAAATTTTGTTAAGTACTATGAAGAGGTGATACATTATTAAATTACTGTAATCACACTGTACTAAACAATAATTAGAGTAATCGGTACTTGCAAACAGCAAATAGGGAAATTTACTCCTGGCGGGTGATTTAAATAATTTTAAAAAGAAATCGGTGTAGTAAAACAAGGAGTTACACGGAAATGACATGTGAATGTTACACAGGGTACTATCCGCGGAACTGGGTGACTGTCAGCGCATTTGACACCCAGTCAGACGGCTGCGCCCGGGTCACCACATTCCACAGTACCAAACCAACGTCAGTGCAGCAGTTGCCCTACCCCTACGCCAACTACCTTGGTGATACTCTTCCACGCAAGGATCTACAATTCGAATCGAGTTTGCACAATCGGTGGGTAGCGCCAGGGGACGGCTTCGACGCGCCTGCCATTTCCTGCGCCACTGTCCCGTCGCCTCGGGAACTCGACACCGCCAAACACGTCCTGAGTTTCCATCTTAGGTAAACCATCTTAGGCCTCTCTCCAATGACTCCTCCTCTCCTGTTTTACGCATCAAAAGGTTTTCTTTTTGCTGTCAAATATAATTGCGGTCACCGAGTGTTGTCTTCATGAACTGGGGTAAAAGGCGCCACCTTCGAGAAACCGCGCAAGAGCCAACTTGGTAAAGGCAGGTTATGACTCTCCTTGGAAACATTATTGATTCTTCGTCGTTTGCCTGTCACTTCTAGTTGGTCTCGGTTGGACTAGGAAACGCCGAGGTTGACTCGACCGTTCATCTTGCAACAAGGCTCGTCCGTTTGTTGTGACGATCAATACCACACCACCGAATGAGAGTTTAGGTGCAAGACCTGACAGGGGAATCAATAAATTAGATTCCCAAGGAACTAATCACCGTATTTAAAATCAACCTGCAGTGGTGGCTGATTAATACCTAAGAATGAGAGAAATTTGAGCACAGGAGTAGGTATGTACGGAAGGCAGCTTTGTTCACGTGGATGCCGTGACAGAGGGAGATTAGCAGCCAAGGCAGCTAGCCACTAACTTGTTACTTCAATTGTTTACCCCAGGTTTAAGATGGAACTCAAGATAAGCCTCTCACTTGGTGGTAG